GACTCCCGCAACCAATATTTGACAAGTTTTGATACAAGTTTGGGATCATTGTCATGCTGAAACACCCAAATCAGCCGAATATTTTACTCAGCGTAAGGGAACAACGTGATGTCCAACACATCTTTGTAAACAAACCGATCCACAACTTCCTTTATTTTATGGATAGGCCCAAGTCCATGGAAAGAAAAACAGCGCCACGATATTTTTGACCCTCCCTCATGTTTCACTGTACCTTTGCAACACTGCGGCTTGAGTCCTTCATTTTTTGGTCTTCTCACCGTAAAATTTTTCACATCTGAGCCTTTAATATTAAACGTAGACTCATCCCAGAAATAATGTTTTTTCCATTGAGCTTGATTCCACTTAATATTATCGTTTCCGAAAGCCTTTTTGATAAAAATGGTTTTTTGATGTCTTACGGGCATTCAGACCAGCTGTCACTACTCGTCTACGCACTGATCTCGAGCTTATATCCAATGATTGCTCTCTCACCAATCCAGTTGAACTCTTAAATAGTTGTTTTTTATTTCTCTCACAATTTGTAGATCAGTACGAGCTGAAGTTCTTCACGGCCTTCATCCGTTATGGACTGTTACTACTGATCCAGTTTCAAAAAACCGACTTAGTATACAGAAATAATTATGAAATCACATAAATATTTATGAAATATTTCTCGGAAATCATTTTCTGTGATATGTTGTTTTGATAGCCACTGATAATTTGCTGTTTTATTCAGGTACTGTATTTGCTTCTAGCCATTTTTAAAACTTTTTTGGGCAGTACTTAAAAAAACGAAAAGAAAAACACATACTGTTGTAAAAAACTTCTCAAAAAGGATTTATGACAAGCGAAATTGTCGAAGGAAGCAAAAAGCGATAAATATCACAGTAAAAACAACTGAAATTGCAGCGGTTATATGAATGTACAATAGAGTTGCTTTTGTTTTGTCCAAGCCAAAATCGGGTTAATTGACTTTACCAAACATTATTTTTTATATAAAAATGAAATTTGGTTTTATGTTTTAGGTTTTTTAAAAAGTGAATAAAATACCTATTTTAAAACAAGAAAAACTTTCTCATTTTCTTAATTTTTGAAAAAGTTACAGGGCATTCATTCTCCTTGTAATTTCAGTTGCTTTAGTTTTCGCCACCAGTGTATATGGGGCCTATACGAATACATTTACCTGCATAGACAATTTTCTGTCACAGACTGTAGTTCCCATTACGAACTCTAAATACGTAATTTGAAACAATTCCGGTGAATAATGACGCTAAAATCATCAAAATACCGAATATTGGGAGGTACCTTTATATGGGGCCTATACGAAGACGTGGACCTGCATAGAAAATTTTCTGGCATAAGCTGTAGTATCCATTACGAACTTCACATACCAAATATGAAATAATTCCGGTGAATACTGCCGCTAAAATTATCAAAGTACTGAATGTAGGGAAGTACCATTATAAGAGGGCTATACCAAGACATAGACCTACACAGACAATTTTCAATACCAAAAGTCCTGCAGACATAATACACATTTGAGTAAATTTTTATCAACCTACTTCATTTCGTTCGGAATCTAAAGTGATTTCCACAGACGGACAGACGGGTAGACGGACGGACATTGCTAAATCGACATAGAATTTTATGCTGATCAACATGGAGCGTATGATTTATATGGGAACGCATCAGAAGACATCAATATGAAAAACTGAGAATTCGTATTATTAATTTTTTAAACATATATTTTAATTAATTTCAATTAGTATCTCTTTGAATCCTAAAAATGTCAATACTTTTACTCCGTTACGTATAAGTATTATCAATAGCAAACTTGGGAGCGCATGGTATATGTTTATACCCTACACCACATAGTGGTAAGGGTATTATGTCTTTGTGCATTTGTTTGTAACATGGAGAAGGAAACGAGATAGACCCATAGTTACTTTTGAGAACCTTCATAGAATCACTTTCTGAGTCGATTTATGCATGTCCGTCCGTCTGTCCGTCCGTCCGTCCGTCCGTCCGTCTGTCCATGTATTCTTGTGAACAAAATGCAGGTCGCATTTATTATCCGATTGAGAAGAAATTTTCCAAACAATATTTTTTTGGCCCAAGGACGAACCCTATTGAAATTGGTGAGAATCGAATCAAATTTAGATATAGCTCCCATATATATCTTCATCCGATTTCGGGTTAAATGAGCACCAAATGTCCACTATCAGTCCAAATTACCTGAATTTTGGCACACCCAACCGGGTTCGGCCTAGAAGCAAGTATATCAAATTTGGAGAAAATCGGTTCAGATATAGCTATAGCTCCCATATATATCTTTCATCCGATTTGATCTTTAAGTCCCTCACATTCCTACTATGCACTCCACAACCGTGATATTTGGTACCAGGTATTAGATGGAGCACAGGAATAGGTGTTTTAAATTTTATCGAAATCGGTTCAGATTTGGATATAGCTCCCATATATATCTTCATCCGATTTCGGGTTAATTGACCACCAAATGACCAATATCAGCCCAAATGGCCCGAATTTTGGCACATGTGACCGAGATTAGCCTTAAAGTAAATACAACAAATTTGGAGAAAATCGATTCAGATTTGGATATAGCTCCCATATATATCTTCATCCGATTTCGGGTTAATTGTGCTCCAAATGGCCGATATAAGCCCAAATGGACTGAAATTTAGTACATCGGACCAAATTCAACCTAGAAGCAAGTATATCAAATTTAGTGAAAATCGGTTCAGATATAGATATAGCAAGCATATATATGTTTCATCCGCTTTAGTGTTTTAGTCCCTTACATTCGTAATGTTCACTCCACAACCGTGATATTTGGTACCAGATATAAGGTATAGCCCAGAAATAGCTGTTTGTAATTTTATCGAAATCGGTTCAGATTTGGATATAGCTCCGATATATATCTTCATCCGATTTCGGGTTAATTGTGCACCAAATGGCCGATATAAGTCCAAATGGACTGAATTTTAGTACATCGGACCAAATTCAGCCTAGAAGCAAGTATATCAAATTTAGTGAAAATCGGTTCAGATATAGATATAGCAAGCATATATATGTTTCATCCGCTTTAGTGTTTTAGTCCCTTACATTCGTAATGTTCACTCCACAACCGTGATATTTGGTACCAGATATAAGGTATAGCCCAGAAATAGGTGTTTGTAATTTTATCGAAATCGGTTCAGATTTGGATATATCTCCCATATATATCTTTATCCGATTTCGGGTTATTGACCACCAAATGGCCGTAATAGCATCAATTTTGGCAAATCCGACCGAAACCAGCTTAGAAGCAAGTACACCAATTTTAGTAAAAATCGGTTCAGATATAGCTATAGCTCCCATATATATGTTTCATCCGATTTCGTCTTTAAATCCCTCACATTCGTAATATGCACTCCACAGAAATGATATTTGGTACCAGTTATCAGATAAAGCCCAAAAATAGTTGATTTTAATTTTATTAAAATCTGTTCCGATTTGGATATGCCTCCCATATATATCTTCATCCGATTTCGTGTTAATTGTGCATCAAATGGCCAATATCAGCCCAAATGGCATGAATTTTGGCAAATCCGACCGAAACCAGCCTATAAGCAAGTACGCACATTTTAGTAAAAATCGGTTCAGATATAGCTCTAGCTCCATATATATGTTTCATCCGATTTGCTCTTTAAGTCCCTTACATTCGTAATATACTCTTCACAGGAATGATATTTGGTACCAGATATCAGATAAAGCCCAAAAATAGTCGATTTTGATTTTATAAAAATCTGTTCAGATTTGGATATAGTATAGCATAGCATACTCTTCACAGGAATGATATTTGGTACCAGATATCAGATAAAGCCCAAAAGTAGTCGATTTTAATTTTCTCAAAATCTGTTCAGATTTGGATATAGCACCCATATGCATCTTCATTCGATTTCGAGTTAATTGTGCAACAAATGGCCAATATCAACCGAAATGGCATGAATTTTGGCATATCTGGCCAAATTCAGCCTAGAAGCAAGGACACCAATTTTAGTAAAAGTCGTTTCAGATATAGCTATAGCTCCCAAATATATCTTCATCCGATTTCGGATTAAATGTGCAGCAAACGGCTAATATTGGTACATCAAATTTAGTGAAAATCGGTCGGATACAGCAATAGCTCCTATATATACTCTTCATCCGATTTGTACTTTAAGTCCCTCAAATTCGAAAAATGTACGATACATGAATAATATTTGGTATCAGATGCAGCCAAGAAATATCTTCTTTTTCAGTTTTACAAATATCGGTTCAGATTTGGATATACCTCCTATATATATATATTCATCCAATTTCGTGTTGATTGCGCACCAAATGTCCAATATCAGCCCAAATGTCCTGGGTTTGGCAAATCTGACCGAATTCAGCCTAGAATCAAATACATCAAACTTGGTGAAAATCGGTTCAGATATAGCTATAGTTCGTAAAATGCACGATAGAATTAGATAGATTTTGATTTTGTACCAAATATCTCATAGAGCTCTGAAATGCCCTGTATAAACCTTTTTACGAGAGCTCTACTAAATATGCATAGTGGTGTAGGGTATCATATAGTCGGCCCCGCCCGACTTTTGAGCTTTCCTTACTGGTTTAAATATATCAATTATGTCACGTGTCTCGCCGGTATTCTAATGCAACCTATGAGCGTATGATAAATATTGAATAAACATTTATTGGTAAAATCCATAGGTACCGGAAGATATCCATTAAAAAAAGTGTGAACTTGTAACATATGAGATTTTATGAAGATAAAATGTAGTATATTTTTGGAAAATTTAATTTTTTTTAAAATTTCAATTATTATTGTTTTAAATTCCAAATTTTAGGACCTCCCAAATTCGTAAAAAACCTTTAGCTTACACTGCTAAAATTTTATTATTTTTTTTGTGAAATTTACCTAGGTATTGTGTTTTATCTTGGGATGTGTTCTGTAGGGGAAAAACAAAAAGTATTTCCCTATTTTCATATTTTTATTATTATTATTATTTTTTTTTTTTGTTTTCCGTTTTCAATTATCAGTTCAACATAAAGCATAAGCACCTAAAATATAATCCGGCTCCAGAGATTTGCATTGATAACGATGGATGTTGTTCGAGATAATGGAATGGTTGTGTGTTTTTTTTCCATTCCCATTTCCAGCTCTGCAACTTTGGCCAAAAATTAAAGCAAAAATATTACACCGTAGCTCTGCATAATATTCGGGAACAACTCAGACACAACTTTCGGGTACACGCTGGGTCATTAAGCAATCCTTAATGGCCATGATGTTAATATTATCATCCAGGTCAGTGGATGAGTTACACGATGTTGTCGTTGTTGAGGGCGCTGCCGAGGCCAATGAAGACGAATGCAGACTACTGCTGGCGACACCCAGGCCGCCCAAGGTGCTGCCAACTCCACTCGAGCCCAAAAGTAGGCCAACACCAGATGTCGAGCCGGGTGTACTGCCACTGCCGCCACTTAGGGCCGATGTTGTTTGTGATGTTAACATCATGGAAGGCGGTGTGGGTGCCATGTAATGGCCATGATTACCACGGCCGCCTAGTGTATTGTGATGATGCAGCGTCGTTGTGGCATGATGGAGGTTAACACGTCCTCCTGCATTGGCCGAAGACGATGATGTGGACGACGCCGAGGTATGATGCAGGCTGGACATGGCTGTGCCACTGCTGCTGTTAATGAGGCTATTCAATATATAGCCACCACCGCTCCCCAGTCCGGGTGGCAGGGTACCCACCCCACTGGAGTGCAGTTTTTGTTGCATGTGCGGTGAGCCCATCGAAGAGGCCAGTGATGTGGGCGATCCTATGATATTGGCCACATCTGAAGCCATATAGGCCGCAACAGTCGTAGCATCACCACCACTTGCCGATGTAGATGTTGCTATTACACCCAAACCGCCACGACTGAGTGTACCAGCAGCTGTTGCTGTCGTCGTCGTTGAGCCCGTGGGCGAGAGCATTGAAGCGGAAGCCATAAGATGAGTTCGTGCGTTGATTTGATTGAATGTTATGGGTATGGACGAATCGTTGCCACCACGGCCCAAAGTGCCACCAGCAGCATTTGCCGCAGTAGCTGTTGTGGCAGCAACACCCGCCGAAGCTGGATTCTGTTGCATCATGCTCGATTCATAGCTCTTGTTGGTGTGTTGCTGTTTGTGGCAAATAGAAAAATGTTGAGCAAAAAAAAAAAAAGAGATGCCAAAAAAGCAAAAGAACGAAACGAAAGGAGGAAATGTATTCCCCAACACCAATTCAGGCATGGCATTCATTTGTAAATTGTTGTTGTTGGTTTTTTGCGTTGCGTTTATTTATATGGAAGACCCAAGTTGTTGGCCATCGTAATAACGATGATGATGACGATGATGATGATGGGAATGGAGATGACGAGGCACACCAAGCAACCAGGCAGGCCATCATGTGTCCGTGTCCATGATCATTGTTGCATTACACAGCCAAAATAGCAAAAGTGATTTCCATGGTAACATCCAAGCAGCCAGCCAGGCATTCGCATTGTCCAGGGAGAATGGGCGCCAACATGGAAAGAGAAAAAGAGAAGATGGAGAAAAAGAAATGAGAAAATGCATAAAAAAGAACGTGGCAAAAACATCTGTCAGTTAATGGCAATTGTTTAACAGGCACCATCACCATTCGTAACACTGGCGACATTGACAGCAAGGAAACGTTGCTACGTTGCAGGAAATTGCTAATTCCTGCTACAACGTTTCCTTGCGCTTGCATTTCTGCAATTTGGCCAAATACAACTGCAGTTTTCATTAAGGATTTCGTTAATGCTGGCTACGTAAAGTGCGATGATGATGACGACGACGATGGTCGTCGCTGGCGATAACGATTAAGAATTTTCTGTTGCCTTGTTTTTCTTTGCTTCTTTTTTTTTTGCCAAACTTAATTGTATTGCTTTCGGCCATTAATGGCATTCCCATTGATGAATGATGTATTTTCAACGTCGTTTCTTTTTTTCTTTTGATTTTCGTTTTTCTTGTTATTGTATTGACTTTTGAAAATTCATTTTTCGCAATTATTGCATTTCGCGAAAAATTCCCCCAAATTGATTCTGTAACTGGGCATGGGCAGGGTGTGTCGGTGTGTGTGAGAAAGAGTTTTTACTACGAAATAAGGCCAGTAATTAATATTGCAACGTAAGTTGGAATTTCGTTTCTTAATTAATAACATTTTTGTTTCGTTAAATGGACAAACTTATTAAAATAAAGGGTCAATTATAATTACGACACTTCTTAAGGCAATATTGAGATAATTTTGGAAATGCTCATTTAATGGAAGATTTTTTTTCTTTGAGAATTAAGAAAAGTTAAAGAAAAGGTTAAACTGGAATATGACATAAGTAAAGCAGCTGTATCGCTATATTGGGTTGGGTGTATAAGTGATATTAACTTTTTAGTTAAGGGGCGTATAAAAGTCATGATTTAAAGAAGAGTAGTGGTTTTAAAGCATTAAAATTGCCAAAATTGGACTTTGCGGATATATATTTTGAAAGAGAGAAAAATGCTTATTAACGACAATAATTGAAAAATCTAATAAAATTGAATTTTCGAATTCAATTAAGATGTTACCCTTATTCGGTATTTGCCAATTCATACGAACAACTAACAAGATCAACCCAAGGGAAATAAACAAGGTCGGTTAATAAGTCTACTTTTGACAACAATTTGAAAAAAAAAAAACATCTAATTTAGTAGAGCTCCACATAAAATTTAAAAGTTTTTATAGGAGAATTCAATCATACACGCTATGATTATAATTATAATTTAAAGTTCAAAAGGCTAAATATGCCGAAGCATTTGGATCTTATATTGCCCATTTGTCATATATGGGAGCTATATCCAAATCTGAACCGATTTTGATAAAATTTGGCAAAGAAATTTCTGAGCTGTATTTCCCTGAATATCGTTGTTACGGAGTGCATATTACGGCTGCGGATGACAAAAATAACAAATCGGATTAACAATATATATGGGAGCTATAGCTATATCTGAACCGATCTTCACCAAATTTGGCATACTATCTTCTAGACTCAATTCGGTCGTATGTGACAAATTTCATCCCATTTGGGCAGAAATTAGACGTTTGGTGTATAATAAAAGGTAAATCGGACGAAATTATATAAGGGAGATATATCCAATTCCGAACCGATCTCGATAAAATTTAGCAAATGTATTTCTGAGCTGTATTTGATATATTTCTCCAAATATTGTTGTTACAGAGTGCATATTACGGCTGCGGAGGACAAAAGTAACAAATCGGATAAACAATATATATGGGAGCTATAGCTATGTCTGAACCGATTTCGATCAAATTTGGCATACTTATTTTCATGCCTTATTTGGTTGTATGTGCAAAATTTCACGCTATTCGGACTGATATTACACGTTTGGTGCACAATAAAAGTCAAATCGGACGAAGATATATATGGGAGCTATATCTACATTTTGACCGATTATCTCCAATTTCAATAGGGTTCGTCCTTGGGCCAAACAAATGATTTTTGCAAAATTTCATCTCAATCGGATAATAAATGCGACCTGCATTTTGTTCACAGGAATACATGGACAGACGGATGGACGGACGGACGGATAGACGGACTGACATACACAAATCAACTCAGAAAGTGATTCTATGCAGATCATCAAAAGAAACTATGTGTCTATCTCGTCTCCTTTTGCCTGTTACAAACCAATGCACAAAGACATAATACCCTGGCCGCCTTGTGGTGTAGGGTATAAACAGAAAACAGAAAGCAATAAGTTCGGCCGGGCCGATCTTTCAATACCCTCCAACATTTGGAAGGAATTTGGAAATTTTCAAAAAAAATAACATCCGCTTAAATTCTGTTAAAATCTTAAAAATACCGAATATAGCCGTTATATTGGGGTCTATACGAAGACGTGGACCTGCATATGCAACTTTTGTCATAAGCCATTACAATATTCAAATGCGAAACTTGAAAAAAAATCGGTGAATAATGTACCTAAAATCATCAATATCGAATATAGATAGGAACTGATATATGGGCCCTATACGAAGGCCTGGACCTTGCATAGAGAATTTTCTGTCATAGACTGTAGTACCCATTACGAATTCTAGGTAAGGAATTCGAAACAACTCCGGTGAAAAATGACGCTAAAATCTTTAAAATATGGAATATAGGAGGGTACCGTTGTATGTGGGCTATACGATATCGTGGACCTGTATAGACATTTCCCTTCCAGGGAGTAAAGTGCTTGAAAAGAACTTCTAGAATGGATTTTTAGACAATTTCGTTTAAAAATTTAGCTAAAATCATGAAAATAACGAATATAGGGAGGTACCGTTATATGTGGGATATACGACATCGTGGACCTATAGCTATAATTCTCTTCCAGGGGGTAAAATAGTCAAAAGGAATTCCTTGTTTTTATTTTCAGACAATTCCGTTGAAAAATGTGACTAAAATCATCAAAATACCGAATATCGGGGGGTACCGTTGTATGGCAACTATACCTAAACGTGGGCCTACATAAACAATTCTGTCACAGAGGGTAAAGTATACAAAGTTTTTTTTTTCAGACAATTTTATTGAAAAATGTGGCTTAAAGCAGCAAAATACGAAATATCGGCTGGGGGGTAACGTTGTATGGGGGATATATACTAATATATATACAATTTTACTTCAGAGGGTAAAGTACTCAGAAAGAACTCTTTCTTTGGATTTTCTGACAATTCCATTGGAAAATGTGGCTAAAATGATCAAAATACTGAATATCGGGGGTCCGGTTATATGTGGGCTATATCGTGGACGATATCGTGTGCCGAACTTGACCTGCCTACACACAAAATACAGATCTGTGCAAAATTTTAGCTTCCTGCCTTTATTTGTTTAGACTCCAGCGTGATTACTACAGACGGTTGGACAGGGCTAAATCGTCTTAAAATTCTACGCTGATATACTTTGGGTCTAAAATTATTATTACGATGAGTTACAAACGGAATGACGAACTTAATATACCCTCCATACTGCGTATCGTGGAGGGTATAAAAACAATAAAGAAAGGTCAAAGTCGGGCTACGCCGACTTTATGTTACCCCACCACTTTGATACCCTAGAGCTACATATAACAAATAAAAGTTATTATGGGAAATTTAGGAGAATTAAAATATACCAAATATGATCGTTTTATAATGGCTTTAAATATGGATTCAAAGCACTTATAATTTAAAGCCGAAAGGAACTAACATATGACAGGCTTCTATTGTATTCTACTAAATTTGAAGGAGGCATTTGTATCTAAGTCGATATTCAACAAATTCCAAACTATTTGAGCTGGTTTTACTCTTCCTAGGCACAATAAATGTGAAATCGGATAAAGATAGATATGAACTGATCTCTATACAATTTTGCAGGGGCATTCCTATGCTTTATCTGATAGTTGACACCAAATATCGTTTTTGTGGAGAGTTTTTTTCGGGTATGAGGGAGTAAAATACAAAACCTGATGAGACCTATAAATGGGAGCTATAGCTATATCTTAACCGATTTTCACTAAATTTCATGAACTTTCTTCCAGGCTAAATTTGTTAGTATATGGGAGCCACAGCTATATTTGAACCCATTTCCATCAAATTGGGCACACTTGTTTTTAGGCTGAATTTGGTTTTATGAGTTAAATTCTATCCTATTCGGACAAATATTACACATTTGGTGCACAATAGAATTCAAATAGGGTGAAAATATATATGGGAGCTATATAATTTCAATAGAGTTCGTCCTTGTACTTTATTTCGTGCTTAGTCGTCTGATGATCGAGAGTTATAGCTAAATAAACAACGTTTTTTACCCATTTTTTTATGCCTCAAAAAGTTCAAAAAAATGTCGGTCAATGAGTCCACATAATGTACTCCAAATTATAGCCAAACCTTTCCAAAATGCAGCAATATATCTTAACATCTTCCCTGATTCCAAGACACATACCTTTGTTTAAACCGAGGAAAAAATATCAAGTTCCCGCCTACTTAAAATATAATAAGCAGGAAATAAATTTAAGCCATGTGCCCTCTCTTTTGAAGCAAAGAGAAAGACAAAGAGAGGGCCAAACTATTTTATATGAACTATAAAACTTGTCATACCAATCCGTATTATACCCTATAAGCTTTAACCTGAATATAAGGGGGATTGTATATCCAAGATAATTGGATTTGATAATGTGCCAACCGACCATGTCCAATGTCCCCATATATCGCCACCTACTGTTTTTCGGGATTTTTAATCTTTCAGCCGCAATTTCAAACTGTATTTCATCTTTTCTACTAAAAAACACTAGAAAGGTTAATTGGCGGAATTCTATAGCCTTCGACCTCTATCAGCAACGCTCAATACGCCTACATAAACGGCAAATCTATTGAAACAGCTCAGCATGACGTGGATGGCTATATAGAGAAAAACTGCTTGCGATAGGATGCACGGTGCATGTCTATGTATTTTTCTGTTCTAGAGGACACAATTATAGACCATAGCTGTTAAAATTATTCCAGTGGCAGGTCATTTTATTGTTTACACGCGTACAAACGCATTTTGGTGAGAATTTTCCAGAAAAAAAAGTTATTCGTGATGGAATTCCAGCGTGATAGTGTGATTTCTTTATATTTGGCTAGAAAACCACAAGTGGCTATCGTTAGAGCACTCCAGCATTTAAATATGAGTAAGCCTTTTGTGTCTCGTATCATCGCACGTTACCGTGATACTGGTAGCGTAACCCAACGTCAAGGAAGTGAACGGAAGAAAACAGCAACAGCAAATCAGCTGAACTGGTTCGAAAAGTAAAGAAGCGACTTGATCGAAAACCGCGTCCCAGTGGTCGAAAAATAGCTCGTGAGCTGAACATATCGCAATATTCCATTCGGCTAAATTCCAAACAGTGCAAGAACTTACACCTCAACGGAAAGAAAATAAACTTAAAAGAGCTAAAAAATTGCTTCGCTTGGCCGAAAGTGGTGAACTGCCGAATTTGGTTTTCTCCGATGAGAAAACATCCGTTGTACAGTAGTTTGTAAACAAAATGAAAGGGTTTACTTGCCAATGGGTCAGCTGAAAATGTGTACCTTCGGTTGGCCGTCAGAACTCAAGCGTCGCCGTGGTGATAGTGTGGGCCGACTTGGGCACGCAAACATTTTGGACGCAGACCTTGGACATTCCAACAGGACTCAGCGCTATCACATTCAGCACGCGCCACCCCAGAAGGGTTAAACAATGAGGTTCCCCGCTTCATTTCCAGCGCACAATGGCAACCAAATTTTCCGAATACCAATCCGTTGGACTATTGTGTCTGAAGAAATTTGAAAAGCAAAGTTGGCACTAAAAAATAACAAAGCGTCGATCACCTCAAGCAAGCGCTTCGACTGGAATGGCCGTTTGAAGGCCATAATTCGTGCCAAAGGTGACCAATTCGAACAAATCTAAACTTATTCTGAAATTTGATGCTATTTCCAACATTTTTTGCTTTCGTTCAATAACATTTTAAAAAAAATTTAAAAATTATGTCGTTTGACTTTGCTGCAGTTTTTTTTTATCTCACCCTGTAGCTATCATGTATATGTTTTATCCGATTGGCATTTAAATCTCTCACTTCCATCTCATCTCTCAATGCAATACACTACAATAATATTTGGTACCAGGTATCTCATATATTTTAGAAATAATACCTTCGCAAAATTTTATGGAGATCGGCTCAGATTAAATATATGTATAGGGTACCATACAGTCGGCGCCGCCCGAATTTTTATCGTTTTTTACTGGTTTTATGTAAAATAAATTAAATGCGAAATGAATAATTTGAATTTGGAATTATTTGAATTAAGAATAAAATAAATATATGAAGCGTCTTAACCAAATTTTAAACCAGTGATTACTGAAGTAATCCAAATTCTGCATACATTTTCAAAGCTCTTAAATAAATATTGCGAAATATATATCAAAATATTGGATTAGCTCAATATATGATCAAAGCTAAATCAAGACCTTAAACCTAAGAATCCGAATCCCCTTTAGGATTTTCATCTACAAATCCACTTTGCATTTTTCACATTTTAAGGACATTAAAAGCGAAGTAGAAAAAAATTGAAATCAAAATCGATTATCTTTTTTATTCTATTCCATGAAATTTGATCTAGAATATTTTTTACGTTTGAATCTTCTTCCAAAAAAAAAAAAAAAAAAAAAAAAAAAAAACAGTGAAGAAAGTTTTAAAGTCGGGCGGGGCCAACTTTATGATACCCTACACCACTTTGCATATTTAGTAGAGCTTCACATAAAAATTGAAAGTTTTTGTGGGATAATTAAATTATACAAGCTATGATTATAATTATAATTTAAGTTCAAAGGACTAAATTTGCCGAAGAATTTGTATCTTTTCAATTGGTGCTTGTATTGCAGATTTGGTGCATAATTAATTTGAAATCGGGTAGAGATAGTTATGGAAATTATATCCAAATCGGAACCGATCTCGATAAAATTTGGCAAAGATATTTCTGAGCTGTATTTGATATATTTCCCTGAATATCGTTGTTACGAAGTGCATATTACAGCTGTGGGAAACAAATATAACAAATCGGATAAACAGTATGTATGGGAGCTATAGCTATATCTGAACCGATCTTCACCAAATTTGACATACTAGCTTCTAGACTCAATTCGGTCGTAAGTGCCAATTTTTATTTGGACAAATATTAGACGTTTGGTGCACAATTAAAGGTAAATCGGACGAAGTTATATATGGGAGCTATATCCAAATCTGAACCGATCTCGATAAAATTTAGCAGCTGTATTTGATATATTTCCCATAATATCGTTGTTACGGAGTGCATATTACAGCTGCGGAGGACAAAAATAACAAATCGGATGAACAATATATATGGGAGCTACAGCTATATCTGAACCGATTTTGATCAAATTTGGCATACTTATTTTCAGGCCTACTTCGGGCTGATATTACACGTTTGGTGTACAATAAAAGGACGAAGTTATATATGGGAGCTATGTCTAAATTTTGGCCGATTATCTCCAATTTCAATAGAGTTCGTCCTTGTGCCAAACAAACGATTTGTGCAAAATTTTAACTGGATCGGGCAATAAATGTGAACTGTACTTTGTTTACAAAAATACATGGACAGACGGATGGATGGACGGACATGCATAAATCGACTCAGAATGTGATTCTATGCAGATCATCAAAAGGAACTATGTGTCTATCTCGTCTCCTTTTGTCTGTTACAAACAAATGCACAAAGACATAATAATACCCTGACCACCTTGTGGTGTAGGGTATTAAAATGTATTATGGAAGTTTTGGTTTAAAATGGAAGCGGGGGTTTACCAAAACAATCCTCGTATCGTTATCGATAACATTTTTTTCGGTGAAACTATATACCTAAATAGCAAGGATTCCAATCAGGCTTAATCCAAAAATTTCACACTGTTTACAAGAGGGAACTTGCCCCTTCACTTTAGCTTACTTTGCTATGTAAACTTTTAAAACGTTGATTGATTTCTCCTGTAAATATTGGAAAAGTTGAATTTTTTGAGTAGTAGGACAAGTATAATGAACATTAATGTTGAAATCTTAAAAGATGGCGAGATAAGAAGGCGAGAATGGCTGAAATTCATTATAACTAAGTGGTAGTAGTAGAATCTTTAAAGGTCGTAATTTACATTGTCTGGTGTGTTTCTAATATACCAAATACCCAAATAGTCAATATTAAATGCTAGACTAGCATAAGATGGAGTTGATTCGGAATCCTTTTTATATATAAAACATCTCTTTGAATTCTTTCCTATTCCGAAATTCTCAGCTAATTCAAAAAATTTCTCAAAATTCTGACATACAATTAACATCACTCATACGCCACGTGACCAGCAATAAACTTTCAAAAAAATCATACGCCCCCATATACCAATCAACTATCACCCCAGTATTGGCAATATATATTTTTCCCATAGCTATTTTTCTCTAATAGTTTTAGTTTCATAAATATCAATCAATCAAAACCATTTAAATTAAAATGTTGAAAAATTTTCCAACTCCACCCCCCTCTCAAACAATAAAAGCAATAACGTCCAAATATTTTGTAAATTGTCACACCACTACAAATGGCCGGCAAAAATTTCCATCATGCAATTATGTACGTATTCACTTATGTCATTCTCGGAGTGCTTTTCCCCAAAAAAAGCAACAAAACGAGACACACAAAAACAAAAAATCTGCTCAATTTTGTGAGCCATACAACGACAACAGGAGAGAAAAAAAATAACAAGCTGGACATTCACGAAACCGTGTCCATGTGATGACAATGGTGCCTGCCATTAAGGCTATTCCAGTTGATGACCATGATGACATTGATATTTTTCAATTAAACACTTACATTTGAACTCGGTGACCATTTGGATGATGTGGATGTAAAATGATGGCTAACACTGCCGTTTGTAGCAACGTTAACGCCGCCGCCACCTACGCCATTGACGCTAACACCAGCAATGCTGGCATTGGCGGAACTGGTTGAACTGCCGCTGCCCACACTGCCAACTGTAAATGTTTTTATTTGTGTGTTTGTAGAGAGTTTAGTTGTAGCAAATAGGAAGAGCAACACACGCACACACACAGATACACACATACACACACGTGCGCGTATGGATAGATAAGAATGGATGGAAATGGCATGGCAAACAATGATTGGTTTGTGATGGAAATTTATTAAATTTTTGTGTCGGTCATGCGAGAGCATTTTGTTTTGTTGGAATTTTATATAAACCAGCAGCCATTTGGAAGAATAGAAAAAAAAAAATCGTGGTAGCAACAACAACAACGACGGCACCAGCAAATATGCAACCAACAACAGCAACAATAACAAGGATCATCGGCAAATATGCAAGAACACCATGGATGATGGTGTTCATGGTTTTTGTGTGTTGCGATTTACGAAGAAGATTTGATTGTGGAGATTTCGATTTCATTTTTTTTTTGTTTTTGTTTTTTGGTGTTGTTGTTAAATTTGAATGTTGTTGTTGTTGTTTTCGGTTCGTTGTTATGTTATGGCCAAGGGATGGATTTAGCATGAATCAAAGATAGCATCGGAAAAAGTGACCATTGAGTTTCGTTAACATTATTGTATTTGGTTTTGGTTTCAATGTACCATTCCAAGTGCAGAGTGTCGGGATGGCATTGTAGTTGTTGTTATTGCCGTTGTTTCAGATACCAATGAATTTTGGTTGCAACATGGATTCAGTTTTATATGTTGGCGTTTTTTTTTTTTTTGTTTTCCAAATTTTTGTACAATTTTTCAGCAATTGTTTAGAATTGTTTAAATTGGTTTATACACAAAATTGAATTCGTATGGCGTTGATGTTGTTGTTAATTTTAATGCCCACACCCAAACAACAAATACGAATTTTGTTTTTTTTTTTTTTTTTGATAATTTCCATGAGGAATATAATCGAAAAAAGTCGAATGAGAAAATTAAAAATTTGCATTTTATTGCAATGCGAACATTTGCCAATTACAGTTAGTATATTTGTGGTCGCCAATTGGTTTGGTGGTACAGCAGCGAGTGATATCAAAAAAGGGGAGAGAAGAAGATAAAACGAAATTGATTAGCAAGTAATTTTAAGAATATTGGGATTTATTTTTTCGTTCGGGGAAATTTTTAAAATTGTTATGACTTACCGTATTGAGAGGGTATAACATCCGGATCACGTTCATCTTCTACCAAATCTTCTGAGGATTTGGATTTAATGTCAGTATGTTGCCATCGTGGTTTATCCATTCCACTGCCCTGTAATTGAGTGAAAAATATAAGAAATTGGAAATTCAAGTATATAAAAATAAGGATTGGGTTTACAACAAGTAAAAAACTGTAAGTCCGGCTGGGCCGAACTTTGAATACCCTCCACCATTTGGAACGATGTTTGCAATTTTCAAAATATTAAAATCCGGTAAAAATTCTATTAAAAACTTAAAAACACTGAATGTAGCCGGTATATTAGGGACTATACGACGACGTGGACCTGCACAGGCAATTTTTGTCATAAGTCATTACAATATTCAAATGCGAAATTTAGAAAAAAAATTGTTGAAAAATGTAGCTAAAGTCATCAAAATACCGAATATCGGGAGGTGCCCCTATATGAGGGCTGTACGAAGACGTGGATCTGCACAGACCAATTTCTGTCTTAGGCTGTAGTATTCAAATACCAAATTCCGGTGAATAATGCCTCTATAATCATCAAAATACCGAATATCGGGCTATACGAAGACGTGGACCTGCGCAGAGAATTTTCTTCTTGGGCTGTAGCACCCATTACGAACATCAAATACCAAATCTGAAACAATTCCGATGAATATTGTCGCAAAAATCATCAAAAAACCGAATATCGGGAGGTACCGTTATGGGGGCTATACCAAAATGTGTATGTCCCATTTTCAATACCAACATTCCTGCAGACATTTGAGTAAAATTTTATCAATCTACTTCAATTTGTTCGGAAGCTAGAGTGATTTCCACAGACGGACCGAATGTTATGCTGATCAAGAATATATATACTTTGTGGGCTCTAAAATATATATTTCGAGGTGTTACAAACGGAATGACAAACTTAATATACCCTCCATACTATAGTGGAGGGTATAAGAAGAGTAGTGAAATAACTGACCCACTAAATAAGAATGGGGTGATGCTAGAATCTTAAAATTTTATACGAGGATCAGTCTTGATTCATAGGCATGTCATAGGGCTAGGTTTTTGGAACATACTACTAAAAGGGTACGAAAAGTACTAAAATGTACTAAAAAAAGAATACTTTGCATTGGACAAACGGAATGAGCTAGAATTTGGAATGAGATCCATTGATGAAGCGCAGGGCAGATGTATCAAAGAATATTTGGAGATTCGAACTTTATAATTACGAACATTTCTAAAACTGTACTAAACTTCCAAAAGTGGTACCATTTGGTATTATGTAAATGGATAGAGCTAAAGACTTGAGATTTGGTATGAGAATTAAGCTTGGAAAGTAAGTTTGATATATAACGCGGCTTTAGAAATATGTACTCAATGTGCGAACTGTACTAAATGTTAATAATTTAGTACTGTTTGGTTTATGGTGAACGCCGCTGTAGCTTGGACGGTTTCGGAAATATAGACTATAATTGTGTGACAAAATGGAGATAAAATTCTAAAACTTGATATTCTCACAATGTTGTCTGTATTAGAGATTTGGCGGTCTTTTGGAAATATGTACATTCTTTATTTGACGTAGTAGTAGTACTAAGTTTGGTACTAGGTGAAAGAAATCCTGAAATATGATTTAAATACTGTTGGTGTCTGTGGCCTAGATGTGTAGGTGGTTTTGGAAATACGTGCTGTAATTGTTCGGAAAGCATTAATTTGAGTATTGAGTGAAGAGAAAGAGCTGCAATCCCGAAACTTGATTAGGTCTCTTTTGGTATTTGAATTGAGATATGAATAAGGTTTTGGAAATGTGTACAGGGTGAGAAAAAAACTGCAACAAAGTCAAAAGCCATAAGTTTTACATTTTTCTTTTTTAATTTTATTGAATGAAAGCAAAAGATGTCGGAAATGTCAACAAATTTTAGAATAAGTTTAGATTTGTTTGAATTGGTCACCTTTGCCACGAATTATGACCTTCAAACGGCCAATGAAACCGTCACACACTGTCTGAATGTTGCTCTGCGGTATTTTGGCCCATTCCCGGCGAAGCGCTTGCTTGAGGTGATCGACACTTTGACATTTTTTAGTGCCAACCTTGCTTTCCAAAATACTCTAGACACAATAGTCCAACGGATTGGTATCCGGATTTTTTGGTGGTCATTTTGCGCTGGAAACGAAGCGAGGAACATCATTTTGTAAAAATTCTTGGGTGGCGCGTGCTGAGTCCTGTTGGAATGTCCAAAATCTGCGGCCAAAATGTTCGCGTGCCCAAGGCTTAAATACACCCTCCAGAATATTTTCGCGGCATTTATTCTGATGCCACAGTCGATTAATAAGAGCGGAGAGCGACCATCGGCTGTTATAGCGGCCAACACCATCACCATGGCCTGCGCTTAAGTTCTGGTGGCCAACCGAAGGTGCAAATTTTCAGCTGACCTCCTTATCTAGTAAACACGACAATTTTGTTTGTTTACAAATTGCTGGACAGCGAATGTTTTCTCATCGGAGATGACCCAATTCGGCAGTTCACCCCTTTCTGCCAAGCGAAGCAACACTTTAGCTCTTTTGAGTCTATTTTCTTTCGGTTGCGGTGTAAGTTCTTGCACTTTTGGAATTTCAATGGCTTTATCCCGAGCTCATTTTTCAATATTTGTCGAATGGAATATTGCGATATGTTCAGCTCAAGAGCCATTTTTCGGTCACTGCGACGCGGGTTTCGGTAAAATCGCCTCTTTACTTTTCGAACCATTTCTGCTGATGTAGCTGCGTCGGGCTACGCTACCAGTATCACGGTGGTACGAGACACACTTTAAAATGGTGGAGTGCTCTAACAGTAGCCACTTGTAGTTTTCCAGCGAAATAAAAATAAATCGAACTATCACGCTTGAATTCTATCACGAATAACTTTCATTCTGGAAAATTCCCACCAAAATGCTTTTGTACGCTTGTAAACAATATAATGAGCTGTCACTGGAATAATTTTAACAGCTGTCGGACGAGTGGCTTAGAAATGGCAGCAGTTGGTTGGAACTTCGTTGCAGTTTTTTTATCTCACCCTGTATTAACCGACAATTCATCGAGCATCCCTAGAGTGATATGTTCAAGTAAAGAGTACTAAATCGTGTCGTGATCTCTTCCGGCCGAGTTTATGATGGGTGAGGTTGTAAATGTCATCTATGGAACCAAAACAAGCCATTTCATAGAACAGTATTGGCAGACCTTGACCTATCAGAATCACTTGATATAGTCAACCAGGGTGGTGTGGTTTGAAGAAGTAGAGAGAACTAACCTCTCTTAAAATTTGTAAATGTACGAAAAGAAATATATGATACTAAATTTGGTACAGAGTGAAGGGATAGGGCTGGAACCCTCAAATTTAATATTTTTCGGCTTTTGTTGGTATGAAGGTGGTTTTGGAATTGAGATATGAAGGTGGTTTTGAACTTGGGCTTTGGAGTACCGCCCTCTGGGGAAATATACAATATATTTACCTTTGTCGAATTTTATTCATATGATGTTTTTATACCCCCCAAGGCAACATAAATACATATGTTAACACAAATCGATTAGAAAATGTGGTCAATAGCCTCGAAATAGTTGAAAGGACCTATACCAAAATATATATCTATGTTAATTTTTTTTATATTGTTCTATCCCCAAAGTAGCCTAAATTCATTTTTTTAGCCAAATCGGTTGGAAAATGTTGTTAAGAAGCTCGAAAGAGGTCAAATCAGGGGGTATAAATATATGACCGCTACGGAAACCAAGATGCCAAATTAGGGACAAATCAATTAAAAAGTATGATCAAGACCCCAAAAATAGCTGAAATCAGGGAATATGAGGATTATACGAAAACGTGGACCTTTATTGATAATTTTTTGGAAGGATGGTTTTATCTTACTAAACACAGAAATTACCAAAATTTGCAAGAATAATACAAAAAATATGTCTAAAATGTAATAAATTGAAATCTGGGTATACCTATATTGATTCTACATGTAACCCAAAGGCTTGTATCAACTGTTAAAGGTTTATCCAAATGTTGCGAAGCATAGGGAAACACACATTTGGCCCTTTGTATATGGATAAGGCCCTATATGTAATGGACCCTGGGAACCCAAAAATCTTTCCCAACCTCCATTAAATTGTCGCAGAGAGTTATTTATAAAATTCGGTCCTTATCCATTTTTAGTGAAAATTGTAGAAAAAAATATATGAATCGAATATCAATTAAATTTCCCTCTTATTCTATTATCCCCCTTTATAGGGATTACTTATCCCCATCATATTTCATATTTCAAAATCTGGAACAAAAAACACCTCTCCAGAACCAACCCAAATCAAATCACAAAAAAGTAGTTCGAAATCACCCATATATCATGATCATCCGTTCGCAACGGGAGTGTCATCGATGTCATTTTAAAAATGCAAACATTGGCAAAGAGTTTTATGTTTGCGCTGACACGGAACAAATTTCATTAAAAATTCACAAAAGATAGTGGCTGAGCGAAAGCAAAAGACAACATCATCAGCAGAAAGCAACAGGTTCAAAAGGAATGTGAGTGAGAAAAAAAAAACACGAAAAGAGGAAGATATGAATGACACAAGAAGACCAAAAAGCGAAGAGGAAAAGGCAAATAAAAATGCAATATGTTTGAGCGTTTTGAAGATAATTGAATTTTTAGACGAGGGTAGGTGGGAAAATTTTGGGAAAGAGTGAAACTCTTGTTTAGAATGTGTATGGGGTTTACCCAAATACAAATTGTACCACTTTTGGTACCATTTAGTACTTTTCGTGTACATATGTACAAATTTTGAAATATACTTCCATATCTTTATCGTACCCACCGCCTATAATGTTTATTCCAAATTTTAAAATCCCAGCTCCAAACTCCATATTCAAATTGTACCAAATTTAGTACCGCTTAGCGCTTTTCGCATACTTCAGTACTTTCGGTATACACACTTTTAAACCGACCATCTTCCATTGATCCTACCCCTCAACCTTGATTTCCTTTCCAAATTTAAAGTTTTTAGCCCTAATCTTTCATATGACACGAAATAGTATCAAATGTAGTACATTGTAGAAATTTTCGTACACTTATGGTGCAAATTTCAAAAAAACCTTTTGGTATCTCCATCCACTGGTTCGTTATATAGAACAGGTGCCATATTTAGTAACATTTAGTACCGTTCTAAAGCAAATTTCCAAAAATCAAGTATCAACCAAACCAATCAAAAGGAGATTCTACTGGCAAATTTCAGATTTCAATCAGTATACGTTCTCTCAATGCCAAATTTTATAACATCCAGTACCTTTGGTGTACATAAGTACAAATTTCCAGAACTTACTACAACATACACCAATCCTAACTCCAACCTTAATCTTAATTTCAAATTTCAGGACCGCAGGACTCCATCGGTTGAACCCAAATCCAAATTGTACCAAATTTAGTACCATTTAGTACTTTTAGTGTACATAAGTTCAAATTTCAAAAATCTACCTCCATATTCTGGTACGACACTCCGCCTGTAATATTAATTTCAAGTTTGATTCGACACTCCAAATTAATATTGTACCAAATATAGTACCGTTTTATATACTTTTCGGATATTTTAGTACTTACAGTACACACCCCTCCAAAACTACCTTCTTACATCAACCTTGATTCCTTTTCCAAATTTCAAGTTTTAGCGCTAACCGTTCACAGGATACGAAATTGTACCAAATGTAGTATATTTTCGCACACTTTTAGTGCGAATTTCCAAAAACCCTACACTCCAAATTTAAGACTTCTAGCTCGTCAAGAGTCAATAGTTCTAGGTTCGTCAAATACAACCGGTGCCATATTTAGAAATTCTTAGTAAATTTCGTACCATTCTGATGCGAATATACAAAAATCCAGCCTTATCTGACACTTTCCGACATCAATTACCAGCCTTATCTGGCACCACTTATAGAAGGAATTTCTCAAAACCCTTTGGTACCTCCATTATGTACTCCAAATTTAAGAGTTCTAGTTCTTCAAGAGTCAGCAGTTCTAGGTTCGTCATATACAACAGGTGCCATATTTTGTAATTTTTAGTACTTTTCGTCCTGTCCTAATACGAATTTCCAGACAGAAAATCCAGACTTATTTTACACCTTCGGATGAAGAGCGACTCTTAATACTTTTCGTACCATTCTAATGCGAATATACAGCCTTATCTGACACCTTCGGACACCAATTACCAGTCTTATCTGACACCACATATAGTACGAATTTCCCAAAATCCTTTGGTACCTCCATTATACACTCCAAATTTAAGAGTTCTAGATCTTCAAGAGTCAACAGTTCTAGGTTCGTCATATATAACGGTTGCTTTTTTTGTAATATTTAGTACTTTTTGACCGGTTCTAATACGAATTTCCAGCCATATCTGATACCTTTGTATCAAGTGTGACCTTCACCCAAAATTTCAAGGTTGCTTGTTCCTCTGGGTATGTCCTGCTAACGCGAAATAAAGTTGTCTTAATTTTGAACTTTTTGTAAGTAGCCTGGGCCTGAGAATTTTTCCTTTAGCCATTTCCCGCACCGGCTAACGCGAACCCATGTTTTCTTAATTTTAAATTCTTAAATCAGTCAGCCAGTCAATTACTTTACTCTCCACAATTTTAAGACCATCCTTGTTTCTTAAATCTATCTAATCCCTTATCCTTTTGGTTCTACTTACCTTGTAAACATCACCGGTCTGAGCTACAACAGCTGTGGCCGTCGCCTTTGTGCCATGTTGACGATTGCGACGTAAATTGTGTAAAAATGTCATCATGAATATTTTCAAAGCGATTGCCAAACTAATAATAACAATTGTAAGGACACTCCCAACGATAACGGGCGACAGCGTCAAGGATACATCATCATCTGTGTGCGGGGTTTTTTTTAGCATGATTATTATTTTAAAAGAACAAACAAAGAAAGGGAGAGGAAGGGAAGGAAACGGGGAAAGTGGGGGGTAATGGGAGATAGTTAGTGTCAGCCACAGGACATAAAGGAAAAGGAAGGACATGTGTGTGGCGAAAATAGAGGAAAATGAGTCAGTTTAAAATGGATCGAGTCCCAATTATTGTGTAATAAATGTGTTTAGTGAGGTATGGAGGAGGGGTATTGTGGGGGGAAGGGGGGTCATAGCAAAAGGATAGCAATTATTATGGCAAACAAAAAATTTAAGTTAGGTGTGTATGTGTGTTTTTGTTTCACAATATCAATGTTGCGAATGGGTGTGTAAGATGTCATTGCAAAAGCCATTATTGGTGTCAGTTGGGCGTGTGTGTGTATTGTGTGTTCCATACATGTTTGACACGATGTGGTTTCATAGACGGAGAGGAAAAAAGGTTTGTATGTCAGCAGTGTTGATTTGTTGTAGTTGTTCAATTTTTTGTATTAATATTTTCCCACAAAAGCACACAGACACATGAACGTTGGTTATTGTTTTTTTTTTTTTTTGGTGACGGTGATGTCGTCGATGTCGTTGTTGTTTGTTTTTAAGCGTTTTTTTTTCATGCATATGTATTTGTTGTTATTTGTTCATTTGTAAGTTGTTTACATTTGTTGTTTTTGTTGTCATCGTCATCATCATCGTCGGTGTAGTTGTTGAAGTTGGCGTTTACGTTGACATCAATGGTGATGGCAGTGTTGCGTTGCGTTGAGTGTGTTGGTGTGTGTGTGTATGGTTGTTTTTGTTGTTGTTATTTTGCATCACAATCAATAAAAACAATCATAAATCATGGGGCGGTTGTCAGCGTTTTGCGTGTCACCATTTTGTTTGTACGTGCGAAATTTAATCCATTTCAAATTGTAGTACGACAAACGGCGGCAATGACACACCAATGGAAATGGGCGAGCGCGTGCACACACACACACACACACACACATAAAAAACAAAGCAACAGTGTATACCAACAATCAAGCAGTGCCACCAGCATAGGTGTTCAATTCATTTTTTTCGGAGCAACATTGCCATGTTGATATATGAAACCGCAAAAGAAGGCAGCACAGGTGAACCAAGGATCCAGTTGGGGCCACAATACAAGACACATCACATCACGAGGAAAAAACGGCAGCAACACATAAAGGAGCCACAAAAACATGCCAAACATACAAACATATGATGGGTGAACACATACACACACACATGATTGTGATTGTCAACCATAAAGCAGGAAGGCGGACAGGCAAGCAAGCAAGCAGTCAGCCAGTCAGGTAGTATGTCAAGTCAAGGGTGTTGAAATCCAAGCAAAACGTGGCAAACATGTAAATTATAACCACAAAGTTGAGTTCAGTGTTTTTTCCCACCACCACCAACAACAACAACAGCAGCAACAAGAAAAACCGCACAAATATGAGACGCAACAAACAAAGCAATCATCATTCATTTCCATACCGGCAACGGCAGCAACAGCGACAGACATAAAAAGAAAGACAAAAAAGAGAAAATGGAAAAACAAAATATTATAGTTATTATTGAAAGCATTTTTCATTCAATATTTATTTCAGAGTTTTCTGTTGTGTATTTTTTTTATTTTGACATATTTTTTGTGTGCTCTTGATGGCCCAGCAATTTTTGTAATTTGGGTTAAAGTGACTGTAATGAAGAGTGAGTTGAATGTTATATTAATGGATCAATTTTTAAAGGAGGAATACTAGATGTGATCTGTTTTGGGTATTTTTTAAGAAAAGTAGAAATGGTGTATTATTTTTAGGCTCCTAAAAGTATGCAGCGCTCATTGAAATGCAGAGAGTAATGTTATTTTCTTTTGTAAGAAACTTGTAAAAAACTAACCGACAGATCCTTAGTACAAAATAGACAGCATCAGTTGATTTGTCAAAATGGAACGAATTACCCGCAATAAAGAGAAACAACGTATACTCAAATATTGTATTTTCTTAAAAATAAAAAAAAAACTACTAATGAAAAAGGAAGAATTGCTAATTTTTCAATTTTGATTTAAAAAAAATGATGGAAGTTCGGACGGGCCGAACTGTAAATACTCTTCACCATATGGAACGAATTTGGCAATTTTCCAAAAAAAAAAAAAAAAAATCCGTTAAAAATTCTCTTAAAATCCTAAATATACCTTATATAGCCATCCATACGACGACGTGAAACTGCATGGCGAACTTATGTCATAAGCCGTTAGAGTATTCAAATGCGTAACTTGATAAAAAAAAATCGGCGATTAATGTCGCTAAAATCATCAAAATATTGAATATAGGCTATACGAAGAAGTGGACCTGCACGAACAATTTTCTGTCATAGGCTGTAGTATCCATTACGATTTTCAAATATCAAAATATGAAATAATCCTTTAAATTAAGTTGCTAAAATCATCAAAATGCCGAATAATCGGAAGGTACCGTTATATGAAGGCTATACGAAGACGTGGACCTGCACAGACAATTTTCTGCCTTAGGCTGTAGTATCCATTACGATTTACAAAGACCAAATTTGAAACAATTTCGGTGAATAATGTCGCTAAAATCATCAAAATCGGAAGGTACCGTTATATGAAGGCTATATGAAGATGTGGACATGTACAGACAATTTTCAGTCATAGGCTGTAATATCCATTACGAACTTCAAATATAAAAATTTGAAATAATTCCTGAAATAATGTCGCGAATATCATCAAAACACAGAATATTGGGAGGTTCCGTTATATGAGGGCTATACGAAGAGGTAGACCTGCACGGCAAATTTTCTGTCATTACGAATTTAAAATATCAAATTTGAAACAATTCCGGAAAACAATGTCGCTTGAATCGCCAAAATACTATAAAAGCGAGGTACCAGTATAAGGGTACAGTACCAAAACGTGGACTTACATAGTTATTTTTCAATACCAAAAGTCCCGCAGACATAATATAAATTTAAGTAAAATTCTATAAAACTACTTTGTTTCGTTCAGAAGCTAGAGTGATTTCCTCAGACGGACACACGGACGGACATCGCTAAATCGACATAGAATTTTATGCTGATCAAAAATATTGAGAGATTGAGATGAAAAAACTGCAACCAACTTCAGATTGCGGTTATTTCTAAGCCACTCGTCCGACAGCTGTTAAAATTGTTATCGTTTACAAGTGTACAAAAGCATTTTGGTGAGAATTTTCCACGAAACAAACTTATTCGTGATGGAATTCAAGCGTGATAATGTGATTTCTTTATATTTGGCTGGAAAACCACAAGTGGCTATCGTTAGAGCACTCCAGCATTTAAATGTGAATAAATCTTTTGTGTCTCGTACCATCGCTCGTTACCGTGATAATGGTACTGGTAGCGTAGCCAGACGTTAAGGAAGTGGACGAGAGAAAACAGCAACATCAGCAGAAATGGTTCAAAAATTAAAAAAACGACGAAACACGCGTCGCAGTGGCCGAAAAATGACTCGGGAGCTGAATTTACGCAATATTCCATTCGGCAAATATTGAAAAATGAGCTCGGGGTAAAGCCATTGAAATTTCAAAAAGTGTTAGAACTTACACCGCAACGCAAAGTAAATAGACTCAAAAGAGCTAAAGAGTTGCTTCGCTTGGCCGAGAGTGGTAAATTGCCGAATTTAGAATTTAACTTTCTCAGATGATAAAACATTCTTTGTGTAGCTGTTTGTAAACAACCAAAATGATCGCCCGCCATGGTGATGGTGTGGGCCGCCATAACAGGCGATGGTCGCTCCCCGCTCGTAATAATCGACCGTGGCATCAGAATAAATGCTGAACTTTGTCGCGAATATATTCAGGAGCGTGTATTAAAGCCTTGGGTACGCAAACATTTTGGGCGCAGACATTCCAATATTCATTGTACTCAGTACCATCGCACTCAGCACGCGCCTCCCAAGAATGGTTACAAAATGAGGTTCCTCGCTTTATTTCTTTATTTGAAACTTCTAACGCCTCCGATCGCTCGATAATAATTGTGTACCTTTTAGTACCTCTATTGCATTTAAAGCACCATTTTCCCAAATAGTCCCCGGTATCCCCCTAAAGAGTGACCCTATGCAAAATTTTAAAGCTCTAGCTCTTATCGCTCAATCAAGAAGTTGTTTAAGTCTTTCTTCATTTCACACATCTTTATAGAGGGCGATTCTCATGCAAAGTTTCCAGCTCTAATCGAAAACTCAAGTACAATGTCAATATTGCAGAACTTTTGTACCCTTCATAATACGAATTTCCAAAAATATAGTCTTATGTCACCCTACCCTAGCAATAGTGTTCCCTATCCAAAAATTTTAGGCCACAGCTCAAACTGATCGCCTAATGTCTATTCGTACTCTCAGTACTTCTAAAATACGAAATAAATATAAAATAAAAAAATAAATAAACCAAAATTTCAATTAAAAAGAATTCCAAAAATTAATTATAAATTATTTGTTATAAATAATTTGTTTTATATTAAACCTATTATAGCTATTTTTCTAAATTATGATGCTGCCATGTCTGCATTCTTTAAATCCAACACGCAGTTGATTCTTTGTTCTTAAATAAAAAATGTTAATTGACTATTGTGTGACCTTATTTGTTATTGCTAATAAACGGTTTTGTTCATATACATTTTTCCATTCAAAAAAGGACAATGTTATTTTTGTTATTTGTTCAGGGTCCTTTGAGACGCCAAAGGAAACTAGCAGTCAAACCAACAAAGAGAGAGGGAGAGTCAATCAGACAAATGGGAAAAATATATGATGTCTCCACAAATAATAATATATATGTACATTGGAAAATTATAAATAAAATCGAAACACAAAAGCAAAACAGTCAACTGGAGATATAAAGGACATTTTCAGGACGAAATTTTGTATCAATTATTTTTAGTATTACTTTAAGAGATGAAATTTCTTTTGATGCGTATTCTCGATTATTAATTC